CGCGGAGAAAATCGATATCCCAAGCCGACCGAAACGGGGGTCCTACTACGGACACCGCCCTCGGGGACCAATCGAGCATGCCACGGTACACGCCGTTGCGGCGAATGCAGCTGACGCGCCGTTTAAGGGGCGCAGCTTTGCTTGCAATAGGCCGGGCCATTGCAAAAGTGAATGTCCAGAGGAGCTGAGGCACCGTGTAGTAGAGCAGGGGAGAGAGTTTCAGAAGCAGGGAAACGCCAGCAGTCAGTCGAAGTTGGGCCAACAACTGACAAGACTGCCTGCTTGCCCAACCTCACCGACCCTCACCGAGTCACAGTACCGATTCATGCCATCGATCGGGCTCGGATAAATAAGGAGGGTACAGCGACGGATTGCCCAGTACTGATTCACGAGAAAATGCAGGGAGCAGCAATGAATTTTGATCGACGGAGGAGCAAGTCACAGCTTAGTTAATACCGCGACTGCACGGAAGCTGCAACTGGCACTTAGTCGGTGTTTATCACAGATAGACGTACGCTTAGTTGACGCCACGCCGATGGCCGTACGGGAGAAGGTGGAAAGAGTAAAAATCCGCTACGGGGGGAACTTCGGGTTTACACAGGAGATGCTCGTGACGACATTGGATGGGCACGACATTTTACTGGGACGTGATTGGCTGCGACGGTATAACCCACGAATCGACTGGACGACGGGTAGGTGCACTGTGCGAAGTAGCAATAATTAGGTCGAACTACCTCGCTGGCAGTCGCCCGAGTCTTCAACGGTCCACGTCAACACCAGCACAATGAAACGGGCTGTCGCCGCTGGAGCTGACGTGTACGTGGTGGATGTTGCAGTGGTAGGAGAAGCAGAGCAGCCGAGTGATTTTCAAAAACTGTTGGCAGCAGTACCTTCCGAACTACAGGAAATGTTGAAACGGTACCCGGGGATTTCTCCTGATGACTGACCGAAGGGGCTGCCACCTCAGCGGGCACGCGATGACTGAATAGAGTTAGAACCGGGGGCACAACCAACTGTACAGTGGCAGTTCAGCCTGACACAACCCGAGCTTGACAAACCGAGGAAGCAGTTAGATTACCTGTTAGCGAAAAAAATCATTCGATCGAGCTCGTCATCATTAACCCCACCGATACTGCTCACACCGTAAAAGGACAGATGGTTTCGCATGTGCATAGACTACAGGGCATTGAACAGGATTACACTCAAGTCGCGATACCCCATCCCCCGTGCCGTCGAACTAATTTTTCAACAGCTAACAACACGGTTCATTTCGAAAATCGATTTACGAGGGGGTTACCATCAGGTTAGGGTAGAACCATCGGACTGCGCCAAGACAACATTTAGGACTAGGTACGGGTAATTCGAATGCACCTTGATGCCATTCGGGCTGACCAACGCACCAGCGACGTTTCAGATTACCATAAACGAGGCATTTATGCCACTCTTAGATAAATGCATGATAGTTTACCTCAACGACATCCTCGTCTACAGTCGCGACGAGCAGCAGCAATTAGCAGATGTGGAAGCACTGTTTAAAATTTTAGACGAGCACCGCCTCATGACCAAGGGTTCCAAGTGCAAGTTCTTTCACGACTGACTAGAATTTCCAAGGCACGTCATTTCGGAGGCTAGGGTTGAGGTCGACCCAAAGAAGCTGGACACGGTGAAAGAGTGGTACCCCTCGACAAATATCACGGAGCTGCAAAGTTTGTTAGGGTTCGTTAATTATGTGTGTCGATTCGTCCGTGACATGGCACGGTTAACAGCCCCACTGACGGACCTGCTGCGGAAGGGGGTCACTTTTAGGTGGGGGGAGAAAGAGCGTGCTGCCTTCTCTGCCCTTAAAAATATTATCTGTTCACCGCCCGTACTGCGCATTGCCGACCCACACCGCCCATTTGAAGTGGTAACAGAGGCAAGAGACATCACCATCGGAGCCGTACTGCTACAGGATTTCGGCAACGGCCTACAGACCATCGCATACGAGTCACGAAAACTGCATCCGCCCGAGAAAAATTGCCCGATACACGACCTCAAATTGCTCGCGATCGTGCACGCATTCAAAGTGTGGCGCTGTTACTTGATCGGCGCACACGTGACAGTACGGACAGACCACAAATCACTACAGTAACTCCGCACACAGCCCCACCTCAACCCCCGACAGTTTGCTAGCTCGATTTCCTCAAGTCACACTTCCACTACACGGTCACCTACAAAAAGGGGGCATCGAACATCGCCGAGACACTGGCCCACCCCACTGGCCAAATCCACTCTATACTACTCGCCCAAACCAGCCCATTACTGACAGGACTATTTGCCCACGGATATCAAACGGACCCATTCTTCACAGGTGGAAATTCGCAGCAGTTCGCTGCAGCAAAGGTGGGTTATTACGTAAATGCCAGCACCGACCGCATCTAGGTTCCGGGCTACACGTTACTTCGGGAATTACTGCTACAGGAGGCACATTACGGAGTTACGTCAGGTCATTTTGGCGTAGAGAAAACATGGCAACATCCGCAGCGGTATTACTACTGGCCCGAAATGCTGACCGACATGCAACGACACGTGGCATCGTGTCCCACCTGCCATCTCATGAAATCATCATGGAAGCGGCCGGTAGGACAATTGTAGCCGATACCTCCCCCAGAGCGTGCTTGGCAGCAGGTGATGATGGACTTCGTCACGGGGTTACCGGTTGGAGCAAGTGGGAACGACGCAATCCTGGTTGTCGTCGATCGGCTGACAAAGATGGCACATTTTGCAGCCTGCAAGAAATCAATCACAGCCGAAGAAACAACCCGCATCTTCATTGACAAAGTTTGAAGAAAGAAGGAGGGTTGAACTAGCAGAAATGGGGATACAAATAGCAAACCCTAGAAGGGTTGTACTCGCTATAGAGCACCCCACTACAGGCTAGAACATAAGATAATATTCTGACACACCCCCATAGCCAAAGTGGGGTGTAATCAGCAGAGCAGGCAAAGCAGTACAAGCTCAGGGTGGATCACAATGTCACCACACAATCTGAGCACAAGTTCAAGAAGAAATAGTTTAGAGTTCACAATTATGAGCAAAGCTAGTGGTAGTCACAACGGGCAAGTGAGGAGGAGGAGAGAGAGTGAGGGGAGAGGAGATAGGAGGCGACGGCTGAAGCTGCAGACACACGGGCAACAGGAGGCAGACTGGCACAGCGGCTACCGGACAGCGCCCGGACTACAGGAGTAACAGGCCCCGCGGCTCAAGTAGCGGCAGACGGGCAACAGACCCACGGGCGGCTGGCGTAGAAGTCTAGCTCACTGGGCTACCGGGACAGCGCCCCGGACTACAGGTGCTGCGGACAACAGTACGGCAACCTCCATGCAGCTTCCCCAAACAGTCCTACTCCCCGACACACACCCGCTGCTACACCGCTAGCTCCACTCCCACGCACTCCCCTTAAACCCTAAACCCCAGTCTCCCACACAACCACCCCCCTCAGCGACAGCTGCAGCAGTGGGAGACGAAGGAGGAGGAGGAGCAAAGGGAGGAATGCACACCGACCACCCCCATACCTGCCACCCCACAGCGGCCCCCGAAGGAGCCGCGACGGGCGACGGGAAATGGGGGGGGGGAGGAGGGGGGGGGGGGGGGGGGGGGGGGGGGGGGCGCGAAGTGGGGCGGCGGGGCCGCGACGGGTCGGTGGCGGGGCCGCGACGGGTCGGTGGCGGGGCCGCGACCGGAGTTGGCGGGGCCGCGACCGGAGGCGGCTGGGCCGCGACGTGAGGCAGCAGGGCCGCGACCGGAGGTGGCGGGGCCGCGACGAGTCGGTGGCGGGGCCGCGACGGGTCGGTGGCGGAGCCGCGACCGAAGGTGACGGGGCCGCGACGAGTCGGTGGCGGGGCCGCGAGAGTGGGGCGGCGGGGCCGCGACGGGTCCCCGTCGCCCGTCGCGACGCGTCCAGAGTGGGACGCGGCGAACGTCGCGGCAGAAGCCCGCCGCGCGCCTCGGGGCGCACAGCGGGCAGAGAACCGCCGCACGCCTCGGGGCGCACGGCGGGCAGAAAACCGCCGCGCGCCTCGGGGCGCACGGCGGGCAGAAAACCGCCGCGCGCATCGGGGCGCACGGCGGGAGGAAAAAGTAGCAGCGGAAGCGAGGTGGTAACCCTCCCACAGGATCGATCCAAGGGGATCGACCTGCTCTGATAGCATGACAAAATTAGAAGAAAGAAAGAGGATTGAACTAGCAGAAATGGGGATACAAATAGCAAACCCTAGAAGGGTTGTACTCGCTATAGAGCACCCCACTACAGGCTAGAACATAAGATAATATTCTGACATTCATCTCCACCGTCGTTCGACTACACGGGATACCGGCAGCAATCAACAGCGACCGCGACATGAAATTCACTAGCAACTTCTGGTGAAACCGACGGTGGAGACCAGACAGCTCACCAGACGGGACCGCCGGACACGGAAGCACAGTGGAAGACCGTGCAAGCACTGGCCCCCAAGAGGGGTCAGCCAGTGAGACAGGGACAGTGCAGGGAGGGGGGTGACTGTGGTGCTGTCGCGAGAGAAACATCGGGAAGTACCAGAGTCAAGTGTAAACGTGTGCAAGGCCTGTGCGGACTCAGTACCTGGGAGATCAGACTCACAAGCACCTAGAGCTGCATTCGCTATACCTGGGGCTATACCGAGGTCAGGCGGCACACACAAGTAGCAGTCACCCTCAGCACTAACAGTCAATGCATACATGGCTGCAAGGGTAGCATCATAGTCAAGATCAAAGATATGTACATCACGCCTAAGCAGGTCTGCCCAGTTGGGGAACTTAATAGCATCAGGAAACTTGACGCGTCGGGCGTCGTTAAGCCGAGCAAAACGGCGGTACTCAGTGTGAAAGCCGGTGCACTGGCGACCAGCGCGGGGACCTGCGCGAATGATATAGGGGCAGTGACCAGGACCCCCAGACGCCCCACGCCCGGCATACCAGTCGTGAAGCTGCTGGGAAGTGGGGGTCTAGCGCTGACGCTGCTGCGGCTGCTGCTGCTGCTGTCCTTGGCCACCACCGGCTCCACCCAAGTCCCCACCACCGCCGCCACCACCACTCCCTACTCCGCCACCACCGCCGCTGCCACCGCCACCGCTCCCGGCACCACCACCGCCCCCACCACTACCTCCACCTCCACGACCACCGCCACGACCTCCATCGCCCCCGCCGTCTCCACCACCGCCCCCTCCACCGCCACGTCCGCCACCCCTGCCACCCTTGCCTCCCTTGAAGCCGCTGCGCTTCCCACTCAGAGCGGAAGCAGCTGCGACCTTCTCAACACCAAGGAGGTTGGCAGCAGTTGCTGCGGAGGCGTAGGAGGGGGTGAGAGGGGAGTTGGAGCACCCCTCAAAGAGGGGAGTGCGGGGAGTACCACGAGCAGCACCTACAGCTAGAATGTTCTTCTCGGCTGCTAGGAGGTGCTTTTCGAGGTCGTCAAGGGCGAGGAAGTGGTCCCTGACTGAGCGAGGTGGGTGATGAGGAAGTAGAGAGTAAAGTACATCGGGGGGTGGTTCTCTACGAGGAACACGTTTGGAAGGGCGGCACAAAGGCGACTGTCACTAGTGCGTAGGTGAGAGATGAGGTCCTCAGCGGTGGTAAACGAGGAAAGGTCGGGGAACAGGTAGGGTATCAAAAGTCGACCTAGGGCTGCAGTGCCCTTATCTTAGGTCCTAAAGACCTCTAGGCTCTAGATACCATCTTAGAATCTAGGCATGAAAAGTGTGATTAGGTCAAGGGGGGGTACAAGAAGAATGTCGAGAGAAATGTTGTACCCCCTAGTGCTAACCCCCATACAGCCTAGATAACCTAAACATGCATATATAATTTGACACAAACTCTTATATTTACCGCTGTTGCAATATCCGTGACCAGATCACGAAGCATGGGAGCGCAATCTCGGAAGAGATCTTCGTCAACATAGTCCTTCAAGGACTCGGGCCAGAGTGGAAGCCCTGTACAGCGCTACTTCGACAGCGAGGAATCGTCTCAGAAGCCGCGCTATGCGCCGCACTCCTGACTGAACAGCAGGATATGGACTTGAGCAGAACAAGCTCCGCGTCGCGCCGAGAGCGCCTCGCCTTCTATGCAGACAACCGTGAAGATCGACGTCAACCAAGGCGCCATTATTGCAAAATATGCAAAGTCTTCGGACACTCAACGGGTCGATGCAAATCTTGATCCAACTATCGCCACCCGAATTCCACTCACCAAAACAACTGGGTCGGCCGACAAGACGCTCGTCATTCTCAGCCTCAACATCAGTCAGCTCGTCCCCCCAGCACATCATCAGCATCAGCAGACTCAAGGACCTCATTCAGGAGCTCCCAGGAACATTATCGCGAACATGGCGACGCGTCGCCGCCGCACTGCTGAACCGGACGAGGAGGATGAAATTCAAGGAAGGCTCCTTGAACCAGAAGAGGGTTGGAATAATCCCCTCACTGAAGACTATCTTTACCTGTACGACGAAGACGAGCAAGATTGGCATAAGCCAATGACACTACGGGAAAGCCCGCCACACACCTATCACAGTTACGTGCCCGTGGGATGGAAGGAGGACGAGGATCCATCTTTTTACAGTCGATTCAAGGCAATCACGGTGACGCTGCGACTCGCGCTACTCCTGCGCAATGGCAACTCCAAAAATCACAACACCTGGTATCTCGACAACTGCTACGGACAGCACATGGTGGGATCCGTTTGATTCCTCTCGAACCTCAGCCGCGCCCCTGCCACCTACGTCACCGTCACCAACAACGAGCATCTACGCGCCAAAGCTCAAAGCATCGTGGTCCTGCAAGCACGGGACAGCAACACACACACACATCTCGTTCAACGACGTGCTCTACGTCCCGGGCCTTCGCTACAATCTGCTATCGGCAGGACAGCTCCACGACAGTGGAGTCATACTGACAACAGATCTAGCCACTCGCGATCTCATCCTCTCTTACGGCCCACTAGACACACCCCCGGAGTCGCACAAGTATCTTGGGCAAGCCCGGTCGATCAACGGCATCTACGTTCTGGATTTCGATATCCCAAGCTGTCAAGCTTCATCAGACGAGCTCGTGGACCTCATTCCCCTCCACTTGCCCTTCATGAACGAGGGATCATGGACACATCTAGACGGCCGACCGTGGATTTGCCACAGCCCTCACCCTCGTGAAATTAATCTACACGAACCCGACATCAACGGCAAATGCACCACGTGCCACACACCCACGGCGAGCCGCACGGAGCAAGTCGAAAGAGACTATGCGGTGATCCAGGAAGCAGAAAGTGCTGAGAAGGAACCTACAGGCATGACTGAAGAAGTACTTGCTATGTTGTCTTACCGCATCTTTGGCGAACCAAACGACGATTTCGGGAATCAGCAAGTGGAGCGACAAACACCATACTCGGAAACACTCCGATTCGTCCTAGAAGCCAACACCAACACCTTCGTCGAAGATGGACGACCGCGCCCGTACAATCGCGAGGTCTACCGCCGTGAGATTGACCTGGCCTGGAAGGATCTTGACGCAAAAGGGGAGGTAAGCGTCAAAGAAGAACGTGATAAGGCTAGGGCAGAAAAGAAACAAAAGCTGTATGAGGAGCGCGTCGCGGCAGGATGGGACAAGGAGTCTGCACGACGAGGCGCATGGGGAGATGAAGATTATGAGCTAGAAGAAGGCGCCACCTGGGGATCAGCCACTAGCGCCTGGGGATCTAGCGCAAGCGGCATCGTGACCACAGGAGGATGGGGCACCGTGACAACGGAAGAAGGAGAACTCACACAAGAAGAGCGGGAGGAAGCTGAGCGGGAAATGCGCGCTGAGCGAGGAGAAGAATCACCCTGCGTCGCCATTCCGCTCGGCCGCCCGCCGCTCACTCGCGAACCTCCTGAATCGCCCCTCGCTAGAACTACCTCTGGTCAGAGATTGAGGAGGGGAGATGAAGATTATGAGCTAGAAGAAGGCGCCAACTGGGGATCAGCCACTGGCGCCTGGGGATCTAGTGCAAGCGGCATCGTGACCACAGGAGGATGGGGCACCGTGACAACGGAAGAAGGAGAACTCACACAAGAAGAGCGGGAGGAAGCTGAGTGGGAAATGCGCGCTGAGCGAGGAGAAGAATCACCCTGCGTCGCCATTCCGCTCGGCCGCCCGTTGCTCACTCGCGAACCTCCTGAATCGCCCCTCGCTGGAACTACCTCTGCTCAGAGATTGAGGAGGGGAATGTTTTGCCAACACATCCGCGCGACTCGCTTGGTCCAATCTCATGACCAGACCCATTTGCCCGTTTCATCAAAGGCACGACAACCCCGCTCAACATCATCCCAGATCGGGAATTCTTGGCGCTCTACCTTACAACGGCACCTGTAGAAGGGGAGACAGCTGCAGAAGAAGAAGCAGAGGAGCCGGGCAATGAAGCGGAACCAGGAGAAGAGGAAGAACCCCCACTCCAGATCCCGCAAGAAACGGAAACAGAAGCGGCAGAGCATCGCGCTCGCTACAAGTGCACCTCCTCGCACTAAAGACGATATGTGGCACCAGCGGCTGGGCCACCCCTCGCGCCAAACCCTCCCCAATGTCGAAATAGTAGCAGAAAGTTAGAACATTGAAGAGGGGTTTGCACTAGCAGGCAGGTGAGCACATATAGGAAACCCTAATTTGGGCTGTACTCGCTATAGAGTACCCCACTGCAGGCTAGACAAATGCAACATTCTGACACACCCCCATAGCCAAAGTGGGGTGTAATAAGCACAACAAGCAAGCAGAGCAATAGTTCACAATGATAAGCAAAGCTAGAGGTTATCACAGAGGGCAAGTGAGAAGGAGGAAGGACTATGAATGGAGAGGACGTGGTGGGCGGCAGCTGAAGCTGCTGGAACACGGCGCAACTGGAGCAACTGGCACACGGGCAACTGGAGCAACTGGCACACTGGCAACTAGAGCAACTGGCGTACGGGCAACTGGAGCAATTGGCTCCGCGGCTAGACGAGCGACAGGAGCAGCTGGCTCACGGGCGACTAAAGCAACGGGCTCACAGGCGATTGGAGAGACAGGCTCACGGGCGACTGGCGCAACTGTCTCACGAGCGACTGGAGCTGCTGGATTCACGGCGGCCACCCCCCTTCAACCTCCCCCACTGTCCCAAAACTCCCGTTCACACACCCCCTGCTGTTCCTCTAGCACTGCACCCACGACACCCCCCTAGCGCCACACCCGCGGCTCCCACACATCCACCCCCCTCGGCGGCAGCTGCAGCAGTGGGAGACGGAGTAGGAGGAGGAGCAGGGGACGACTCACACAACCGTCACCCCCATACTCGCCACCCCAAAACCCTAACACAAGCAGCACGGGGCAGGAGAGCGTGCAGAAGTGGGGGCGGCGCTCGTGGTGAAGCGGGACGGCTGGGGCAGGCTGTACGGGCCACGCACGGGCCTGGCCTGGGCTGTACGAACTGCGTGCCGGCTGTACGGGCCGCGCGCGGGCCTGGCGCAGCCCGTACTAGGCACGCGCGGGCCTCGCGCAGGCCGTACGGACCGTGCGCGGGCTTGGCGCAGCCCGTACGAGCCGCACGTAGGCCTGGCGCAGGCCGTACGGGCCGCACGCGGGCCTGGCGCAGGCCATACGGGCGACGGGGGGCGATGTGCGGGTCCCCGAGGGCGCTGCGACGAGCGACGGGGGGCGACGCGTGGGTCGACGGGGTAGAAAACCGCCACACCCGCGGCTCCCACACATCCACCCCCCTCAGCGGCAACTGCAACAGTGGGAGACGGAGTAGGAGGAGGAGCAGGGGACGGCTCACACACCAGTCACCCCCATACTCGCCACCCCAAAACCCTCACACACGCAGCACTAGGCAGGAGAGCGTGAAGCAGCGGGGTGTCGAGAGTAAGTGAACAGGAGAATGAAAGGTGGGGCCTAGGCTTAGTAGCCTAGGCCCTAACTAGGTATCGAGCGGGTTTTCCTTAGGAGCGATGTCGAGTGAGTTGTGAGAGAGAAATTGGAGAATGTGTTTTCACTATAGCATTCGAAGTACATATAGCAAAGGAACACATGAAGAGGTGCACCACCTACAAATTTAATAACTACACTACAGCTAGAACTACATGCAGTTATAATAAATATAATTCTGACATCCCCTCGTAACTGCATGCAGGAATAGCTAAGTGCCAAGCACAACCTGCAGAGGTACACCAACGAGCAATAAAACAAGCAACAGCAGGTACTCCAGGCGGGCTAACTTTGAAAGGTTACCCCCTCCATCTCCTCACCCTCCTCCTTCCCCTCCCCCACACTGCTGCAGAAGCAGCAGAGAAGGGGGGAAGAGAGGAGAGGTGGAGGGACGGCTGCTTGTTGCCTCACACCCGCCACCCCGGTACCACTCCCCCTGCTCACCCACATCCTCACACCCTCCCCCCCCAGCGGCAGCTGCAGCGGTGGGACTGAAAGAAGGAGGAGGGGAAGGGAGAGAGTTGACCCCACGCTCCAACACCCTCCACCCCCATACCCTCCTCCCCACGGCTGCAGGGAGACAAGAGAAAGGGGGGGGTGGGAAGGAAGAAAGCCGCAGAGCGGCGAAGAGGCGTCAGTGCAGATGGGTCAGGGGCGGCAGCAGGGAGTGCAGGGGCGGAGAGGCCCGTCGCGGGCCAGTGCCACGGGGCGCACGACGGGTAGGATAAAAGGGCCCGATCGTGTGCCTCGGGGCGCACGACGAGCAGGGCACCATCGTGTGCCTCGGGGCACACGATGGGCAGATAAAGGGCACCGTCGCGTGCCACGGGGCGCGCGACGGGCAGGGTAGGAGTCACACGCCCGTGGGCGGGACAAGGTAAAGAATAAAATCGTCACGCGCCCTAGGCGCGCGACCGTAAAATTTTAGCAGCGGAAGTAAAGCGGGCCCACAGGCCAGGACGAACTCAGCTCCGATAACATGTCGAGAGTAAGTGAACAGGAGAATGAAAGGTGGGGCCTAGGCTTAGTAGCCTAGGCCCTAACTAGGTATCGAGCGGGTTTTCCTTAGGAGCGATGTCGAGTGAGTTGTGAGAGAGAAATTGGAGAATGTGTTTTCACTATAGCATTCGAAGTACATATAGCAAAGGAACACATGAAGAGGTGCACCACCTACAAATTTAATAACTACACTACAGCTAGAACTACATGCAGTTATAATATATATAATTCTGACACGGGGGCGGTGCTCGTGGTGAAGCGGGACGGCTGGGGCAGGCTGTACGGGCCGCGCACGGGCCTGGCGCGGGCCGTACGAACTGCACGCGGGCTGTACGGGCCGTACGCGGGCCTGGCGCAGCCCGTACTAGCCTCGCGCGGGCCTGGCGCAGGCCATACGGGCCGCGCGCGGGCTTGGCGCAGCTCGTACGAGCCGCGTGCGGGCCTGGCGCAGGACGTACGGGCAGCGCGCGGGCTGTACGTGTTGGTGTAAGGGCCTAATAAACTCAAGCTATTAAGACTTTATCAAACTTAAAACCTCTCCTCGGGT